AGCTGAGATTAACTTCTTTAATAATAGCCATATGTTCAGTATTCAGTTTCTCAAGTTATATGTTTCATTGCACATGATAAAAACAAGTATGAACAGTAAAACAAATATGTTACATATATATATATATATATATATATATAGGTTATTATATTTTGTTTGGGACAGTTTTAATATTTTAACTTGTGGACCATAGTAGATTTTTTTCTATCTTCCCTCATGTTTCAAAGTTAGATAGTGAAACACAAAATCAGTTATATTCACTATTATTTTCTGTCAAGTTTATACACTTCCTTCATCTTCATTTTAATCTTTGGTAAAATCATTACTGTATCTTTACGTACAACACATCACGTGACATATATATATAATTAGAAAATGAAACATTTAGTGTTTTGTATTTTCCTGTATTCATGCACTTTGAATAGTAATACATTTACATAAATAGTCCAACTTACTCTATATAATTAATCCTTAAAGAAATCTCAAGATCCCAAAGAACTTGCGTTTAATCAAACTTACTCTATATAATTAATCCTTAAAGAAATCTCAAGATCCCAAAGAACTTGCATTTAATCAAACTTACGCTACATGATTAGTCCTTAAAGAAATCTCAAGATCCCAAAGAACTTGCGTTTAATCAAACTTATTCTATATAATTAATCCTTAAAGAAATCTCAAGATCCCAAAGAACTTGCATTTAATCAAACTTACGCTACATGATTAGTCCTTAAAGAAATCTCAAGATCCCAAAGAACTTGCGTTTAATCAAACTTACCCTATGTGATTAGTCCTTAAAGAAATCTCAAGATCCCAAAGAACTTGCGTTTAATCAAACTTACCCTATGTGATTAGTCCTTAAAGAAATCTCAAGATCCCAAAGAACTTGCGTTTAATCAAACTTACCCTATGTGATTAGTCCTTAAAGAAATCTCAAGATCCCAAAGAACTTGCATTTAATCAAACTTACGCTATATGATTAGTCCTTAAAGAAATCTCAAGATCCCAAAGAAGTTGCGTTTAATCAAACTTACCCTATGTGATTAGTCCTTAAAGAAATCTCAAGATCCCAAAGAAGTTGCGTTTAATCAAACTTACGCTACATGATTAGTCCTTAAAGAAATCTCAAGATCCCAAAGAACTTGCGTTTAGTCAAACTTACCCTATGTGATTAGTCCTTAAAGAAATCTCAAGATCCCGAAGAACTTGTGTTGAAGAGGCGTCCCCAAGAAACTTTCTTTTCTAAAAACATAAAATTTAGTGAGTTGAAAAAGAAAGCTACAAACATGGGCACCCACAGGAAGGGGCAAGAGGAGGCATTTGCTGCCCTTAAATTTCACAAAAAAATTGCATGTATTATTATGTAAAATTAACATAATAGTTAAGCTAAATATTTTTAGTAATTTTTATTAAAATTGTAAATTTGTGTTTGAGTTTAAGCACACATAATATATATTCTCTTAGTCTCTTGACTTAGACTGTAAAAGCTGACCCCCCCCCCCATACGTTCTGCCTCCCCTTGAAAATATTTCCGTGGGTGCCCATGGCAACAAATTATTGTTTTTATAATGATTCACCTAAAATGACTAATAAAACAACATTGTCGTAAATATTTTTGGTAACTTTAAAGTGAGAGTCTTTATGTAAAACTATGTGATTTCAATCACCTCATAAGTTGAAGATCTGAAAAACATGTAAATGCTTGCAAAAGTTAATACTAACACATTTTATCAGAACTAGTACAAAATAACTTTCTTTCCCGTTTTAGGACCAGTTCTTCTACATTTGTCTTTTATTGTGTTTCAACAATCAATAATATGTAAGTGATTATTGGATAGTGTAGCACAGTGATTTATAATATTGAGTACCATGAACATAACTTTGTTTTAAAAGTGAGAGTTGGTATAGTTGAAACGAGAGAATTATTCTATACAACATATGAAAAATTCACAGCTATTGTTAAAATATAAGGGGGACTTACCCCCATCCTCACTACAAGTTATGCCAAAGTTTACCATACTATGTTTTTGTAGTGAAAAATATTAAGATACATCCACAAAAACCAAAATAAGTAAACTTACTTTTAGAAAAATTCATACATTCAAATAGAAAAACAATATAATTCTATGTATAAAAGCTTTACCTAAATGATGTTGAAAAAGTTTGAATGGTTACATTCTGCAAGTGTTACCATTAACAAAAAAATTCCAGAAATGTATTCTTATTAATTGCCCTCCTTCACTATGCTCTGTGTATATGCTATAACTTGCTTATGTTTTATTCACTTTGAGTTTTCTGTTAAAGATAAGCATAACCGAGCTTAAATTGGCTAGGGATTCCAGATATAGCAGTTACACCCACGGAGATGATTACTTGAATAGATAAAGAAATCCATTAAACCATGCAACCTTGACAACTTTTCCTGCTTTCTTCTCTGAAAGAACCTTTAACAACCACCCTGCATTTTGCTCTCTCTATGACCACATATGATACTCTCACAAGAGACTACACTGTTTTCCAGAATTCGTGGAGACACTACATACTTCTATCAAGGTTTTATGGCTCAAGGAATTATTGAATGCAGAACCAGCGGCACCTATGGTTACAGTACAGCCGATCAAAACAATTGTAACCTGCTGAATAAAGCAACAGTCATTTAAAGAAAGTTGGGAACAATTACACTACCATAAACCATCACACAAGTTTATGGAATACGAGTATGATTCAGACACATTTTACATTTGTAGTTACAGTTAAAAACATAAAACTGAAAGTAAATTGTATTTCCCCTAAACAATGAAATCAATAATTAAAAAGCTAATGATATTCATCGTTATTTTTCCACACAAAGTTTGTAAACTTTACACATTCTTCATGTCTTGCAATGCTGCAATTTATAAATTTCAAGTATACACCGTCTACAATTCCTAATTTTAAAACTGCAACTCTTATCTGATGGGTGATGTTAACAAACTATTCAATCATCGAGCATATACACAACACTTGTTTTCCTCTTACACCAACAACAATAAAAGTTACAAAAATAAAAGAATGCTCAAAAAAGGGGGCTATCAACCTATCACATTCAACTATAATCTGTGTGACGGAGACCAAAAATTTAAAAAAAAAAAGATTATGTTTATATTTATTTATTAAGTGAGGTTGTATTCAAAAGGATTTAAGTCACTAGCTCCATGGTGTAGAGTAACTTGGAACAAAATACAACAAAACACTGAGCATTTTTTACCCGATGCTCTATCATTTATTTTAAGCTCTTAGATGGTACTTTGGAAAATGTACAGTTTGATGTACTAGCTGATATTAATTTAATATTCTACATCATTAGATGTATAATGGAAATACTGATTTCGGTTGATGTACTCAATAAATAATAGAATAGACTAATATTACATTTTCTTTTCAATAACTATCTTTCACTCACAAGAAGAATATTAATTCATAACTTTTTGTTTTGGGTATGTGGGAAGAGGATTAAGAAGGTTATTCACCACAATGATTTTTTAATTCAGTATTAATTCATAACTTTTTGTTTTGGGTAT